TCAGTCAAGTGGAAAGAGTGACCCTAGCGAACTGAGCAACGTGCACAGGTGTGACTTTTTTCTACAGGTATAGAACACAAGGGGATCAAACCAAGCCACAGCTGCATAAGGGGCAGTGGGGCGCAGTGAGCTCGTGCAGTTTTGGTTAGTTTTCTCTTAAAGGTGACGGGGGGGGCGGGGGGACCTCTGTCCTGCAGAATCCAGTCTTGCAGGAGGCCGAGGCGAGAGAGGAAAGATATTCACACTTGACACTCTCAGTGAAGTGCAAAGAATCAAGGGGGGGAAAAAGGCTGTAGAGTTGAAGTGCAAAGCGGAAGTGATCATTTCTGGGTGTTGTTGTTTGCTATTCCTTTTTCCTTTGAGCGAAATGTATTTTTTTCCCCCTCCCCCAATTTGTTTTTACGCCCCGTTTTCCTGTCCGCCTGTCGAAAAACCCACTCGCATTCCCCTTCCAGACATCGGGTCTTTCAGCCACAGACCTTGTTGTCGCGTCGCCCCCTGCAGAGTACCGGCACTGCAGAAGTGGCTCGTTGAAAGAAGGGGTTCCTAAGGGTCACCCCGAGTCCTACTGTCCCACAGGGGGGGGGTCGCTTTTTTTAATTGAGAGGCCGCGAGCTCTTCGGTGTCCATACTCTCCACTCCGTTTCTTGTCCTGCACTGCTGTTGTAAATCCTGGATTAAAGGAGACAAAAAAAAGGTTTTGGAAGATTGGGGATTGTAGGACACTTTTTTTGGGGGGGGCAGTCTTGGTGTTGGATCTTTTGGTTTTTAGTTGCCTTGAATCGGTTTCAGGTAGGAAATTGTTTAATCCTCCTTCATTATCATTATCCATTATTTAAGCCCTCTGCTTATACAGCAGTTAATCAGGAGATTCCCAGCCCCTCTCAAAGGCTTTATTCAGCAGCACGGGCTGTGCTGCTCTGATGCTGCCTGCTACTGTCTGACAACTAACACCATTCCGTTTCAGTGGGGTGCAGGCACTTCTTCACTGTGTTGTGCTCCCCCTAGTGGACTGTACAAATATGTTCCGATATGTTTGGTTTATTTTTCTCTTCCACTATCAAGTAATAATAAAGCTAATTTTAAACCCTTTTCATTTTTTGTGTGAATAATATCAGTGTTTAGAATATTTTTTTTAAATATATGGTAGTGTAGATTTTTATATATATAATCTATATATATATAAAATTATTCAGGTTGTTTTCTTTTTACATGGCTGTATTAAAGCAAAAACTAGAATTCTGACTTGATTTTTGTTTTGTGTATGGTGGTTTTTCTGGAATGGTTAACTTCATTCCTGCCGGGGAAGGTTTTGGGTTTTTTTTTCCTGTTTGTGTAAAGGTTTGCTTTACAGGGGTGGAATGCTGGGGGAAAATGGTCTTTTTAGTGCCTTGCACTAAAACCCTGGCGGTATAAAAATTTTTCTTGGGAGGGGGGGTGATAATCCCAGCGTATGTCTAGGCCTCTCCTAGTAGCTTGTTCAATTTAACACAGTTGCAAACTGCAGGTTGTTTTCAGAACCTGGACTCAAACCCTGTTTCTGATCAACATGTTCCTGCTGTTTGTCGCAGGTTGTTTTGTGCGGGTCAAGTGTTTTCTAGGCAGTGGAAGAATCCTAATGTCAGTGCCTGCTTATCTCCATTCCGAGTTTCCCCAATTTCATACACACTTTCAGGTTCTTCATTTCCCCTTAAAAGATCATTTTGAATACAGATGTCTGAGTTTACTAAAGGAACTTTGCCTAAACTGTTTTGGAATTGCTGGGGTATTTCAACAGCCTGGCGAGGTAACTAGAAGCAGTTTACTTATTTATTGTTGCATCGTTTTATCCCAAAGCACTTCACCTATAGGTTGGGGGAATTGGCTATTCGTGGTTGTCGTCCTCCGCGAGATACCACATTGTGTAGCAGATCAGGGGTGGGAGTGAGAACCAGCTCCACCATCAGAGGGAGCCCAGAAGAGCCAGGACACTGTCGTTGATACACTCCGTATAAAAACCCGTCATGATCTTTAGTGACCAAGTAGTTGGGATTATGAGATCTCTGATGGACTGCTGCATCTCCTGCATGTCTGGAGTCAAAAGGCTCCCTTATTCTGTGTTTTTTCTTTGTCAGTCATGTCTTGGATCAGTTCATCTTTATTCTCTAACAGCTGATGACATCCGCAACATTTTGTCCTTGACAGTGCACCACAGTGCTGTAGGATTCTTGAGGCCTTTAAATAGAAGCACAATTTTGCAATGTTACAGCTTTAATCTTAAGTACTGTAAAGACGAAGTGTTACTTGTGTTACAGTGCAAGCAAGCTTAGGTAGAAGGCGAATGCTTTAAATACTGTTGTGAAAGTTGTCAAGTATTTGAGCGTCTCTCAGCTCTTTTTGAGGTTTTTAGTTTTTTCGGAAAACCATGCTTAGTCCCCTTTCTTCCTTCCTGCACGAGAAGAGATCTGGGCACAGAAATCCCCGTTATAAATAGCAAAGGGCTACTGGAAGAGCTGTCTGAGAAGATGGCTTGCCGTTCTAAGAATAGAAAATAAAAAATGGCATCACACTTTCTCCTGAAGGGCCCACCTAGAATCAAGTTGCAAGTTTTATGGAAAAAAATTAAAGGGATCATTTGCAGCTCACCTTGATTTGAAATGACACGGAAGTGACTGCTTTTATTTCTCTGCTTAAACACTGTCCAGCCTTTGCTGAAAGGACATTGGTAAGATGTTCAGGAGAAGTCTCAGCCTGTGTTTATACTCTTGAGGGTCCAGCTGTGGGGGAAATGCTGTACGCACTGATGATCCTCAGCTGATTCCTTGCGACTGCAGCTCATTGTAGCTGTCGTCAGGGTGTTAGTGAAATATTAAATCCCTGATGTCATTGTTCTTGACAGAAGTGCTGTGTTTCCAATCTCAGATCCCTGGCTGGGGCGAAGCTCAGAATGGCTTTCCGCCGAGACGGTCCATAGCGCGCTTTTCCGTTTTTTTCCTTCCACGGTCGCAGTTGTTAAAATGAAACGGAAATCTGTTCACGGAGATAAGGACGTGTCCTTCTTCACCTTCCTTGGTGACGTGAGGTCTGTTTGCACCTGGCAAAGGCCGGGGCTGTCTTGTACACGGGCCTGCGTCTTTCTGTTAAACGGGTCAGGGGAGGGGATGCTGCTGGAGACAGGGAAGCTTTTGACTGGCTTCTAAAAAAGAATTGAGAGAGGATTGTGAATAGCTTTATACATGCATGCATATTAAAATATTCTGCCTAATTATCAGACCCTTGATTTTGCTGGTTATCTTATTTGGTTTGTCATTGCATCTGAAGTTAAAGGCCGTTTGAGAATGATAAACATTGACAAATATATTTGACTGAACATATATTTTAAGCCTGAATTTGAGCCGTTTTGTTTTTAGACATCCTCCTGGTTGCAGATTTTTCATTTCCTCCTCAGTTCGAGTTCAGGAGATGGGGTCGGGAAGTGTTCTGATGTTGAGCAGACCAACATGTCTGTGTTGTTCCTGAAAGCGTTTGTTAGATTTATGATTAAGCATCTGTATAAAGGGCAGGCACCCCTTTGCTTCTTGCAGATTTGGAATTGCTCTACTCCTAATGCAGGAGTCGGTTACCAGAAACACTTTTTGACCTATTGTTTTCCAATTCTCTT